CGCTCAATCAAAAACTGTAGAGTAATAAAATAAAAAATAAGAGAAACAATAATTATTATTATTCTTTGACCAAATCGGATTTCTATATATGACAATGACGGCGACGCTATTGATACCACCACCACCACCATCACCACATACAAAAAAAAAATAAATATAAAAATAATAATAAATGAATAATAATAGCAAGAAGAACTAAAATACTTTTATTTTTCTCTTTTTCTTATCATAAAATGTATACGTAAATCCTGCTTTTTTTTCAGCATGTGACAAAAATGTGACAACAACAGAAACAGCAGGAACGAGAGGAAGCAATAACGACGAGAAGATAATTATTATTACATTGCAGTAATAGGGCATACAAGAAAGCACATTGATGTTTTTTTCTTTGTCCTTTCTATGTAACACATAAAAGAGCAACGAAAAAAAACACAAATTTAATTCTGGTATAGTAACAAAAGAACAAAAAAAAACAGCATTTGCTTTACTGCTGTAATGCTACCTATTGTACAATAAAAAAAAAAATTATAGTAAATTAACAGTCAAATAAGAAATGTATGCTCTCTTTACATCGTGCATATAATATTATGCACAACTGTTCTCCGTTTTTCTGTAACGATAGTTAAATACAGTACAACTACAGTGTGAGAGAATGAATAGTCACATGGATTTCTACTTTACTATTTGAAATGCTTGTCAGATTCCCAGAACAAAAAAAATTATCAGTTGAGATAAAAAAAGAAAGAAGTTTTGTTTTGTAGGGTCATGAATACCATCGTTTCTGAAGTATTTCTCCTTATGTATGTTATAGATTGGACGCCGTTAAGAGTTAATAATTATTTTGAAATACGATTTGGTCAAAGAATAATAATAATTATTGTTTCTCTTATTTTTTATTTTATTACTCTACAGTTTTTGATTGAGCTACTACCACTAAAATGGTTTCTATTTTTGTTTTTTCGATAATGAAGTTAAAATAACCGATTTTTGAAGTGCAAAGTAACCATAACATAAAGAATGAACAGGTGAGGATGCTTTTTCTGGATATTTTTTTTATTAGTTCTTTCAACGAAAAAATAATTATATATTCACTTTATATTATAATGAAGAATATATAATACTTGGAAGGAAAAATTAGAAAATGTCTGAGAAGATAATGGTACATTATCTGAATGAAAAATCATATAATCTGACTAACATTTGGACTTAGAACTCCAATTATCTGTGTCGTCGGTCTTTTCACTAAACTACAATGGATCACTAGTTCATAAAATTTTTAATAATCAAAAATCCCATAAATGATGAATACGATGTGTAATAATGTATTTATTTTCCCTAAAGAAATAGTTAAGAGTACGAACTAATAGTTTATTGTACGATTGTATCTGATGAAGTTCTGCTGTTATATTGTATCGTTACTATATCGTTATTTGGTGACGTTTTAGAGAAACTAGCTCTTGGACACATTTTATACATGGTAAATTTTTAGAAAATAATCATCAGCTAGAAGCATGTGTTGTTTTTTCTTTTTCTTTAAAATTTCTTAAATTATGCTTTATCAATTGAATGTTTAATTGTAGTGAAATGAAATAATTTAACTTAAATTAACAGAAAAAAAATAAATGATAATTAAGTAAAAAAGCATGATGGTAAATCTCTGATTATCAGACTAAGTTTCTTTCTTTAAAATTCATATATTAACTTATGAAGTAGTAATAAATAGAAAAATTTTATAAATTCTAACTTTCTATAAAGTTATTTTTTCTTATCTATAAAAGTGCATTGAAGTAGATATACTAGAATTAATAGAAAAATTATGAAAAGAAGTAATGTCGATCTTTTATCAGATTTTGTCCGTCGTATATGTTAAATAACTGAATGTAACTTAACTACATTTTTTTTCTCCATAATGAGAGAAAAGGTTGAGATAAGAAAGACTTTATCATGCATCTTCATCTTTTTTACGTGTCTATTATCTCGTTATTAAACTTCTTTTCATTTTAATTCATTAGAAATCATTAGAAAGAGCAAACGACAACGACAATGAAACGATCTGAAAGCAATGAATCTCTTGATCCATGTATTCACGTCGATTCAAATAGTTATTCTACTAATGTGACCAAAAATAAAAGTTTTGTTAAAAAGTCAAAAGTTGTACCATTTCCATTTGGTGGATGTCGCGTATGTCAAGACAAAGCAACAGGCGTACATTATGGGATTGCAACATGTGAAGGATGTAAAGGGTTTTTCAAACGTAGTATATTACGACAAGAAAAATATCGTTGTTTTTTCGGTAACACATGTGTAGTTAATGGCGAAACACGAAATCGTTGTAAAGCATGTAGATTAAAAAAGTGTATTGTAGAAGGAATGTCAATGGAAGGTAAGTTTTCAACTAGTTTTAACTATAACAGGACAATTTCTCTTCGTCCTTTTTTGTGTCGGACACTTCGTACCACTTTATTCGTCTCATAGACAGTTTGTTTCAATATTTTTCGTCTGTAGACGCCCTCGAAACAGTGAAGACGTTGTACGTTGACAGCATCAACTAGTCCAGGCGTTGCGTTCCGTTGACATTTCCTCAAAATCAACTTGTCGAAAGCAGGATTGAGCGAGTCCGAGTCAGTCTGACTCCTTAAAAATTCATTCCAAGTTTGAGTCCATTTTGAGTCCGGTAATCTTTTAGATTATTTTTTGACGATTGTGGTTTATTTCTCTTTTTTTCCTGTGCCATTTAGTACATAAATCTTGTTGAAACAGACAAAATTACTAAAGTAAACTTCTATTACATTTTGATAATGTCAGTTGAAATAGATTGTTTTTCATAAAACGTGCTCTTTCGCGTCTAATCAAAAATTCTGATTGAAAAAAAAATACACTCAATGGGTGCGGATGTTGCCGGAACACATAAACGTTTTTTTTGTTAATTTACTGAGACCTGGATAGATATTCAATTTTTGGAAAATAAGATTACTTTGTATGCCCGTCTCCCGCATAAAATGTTCAATTTCTTGTGAAACAGAAGTTGTTACTTCACCTTTCATATTTTTTGACATTGGTATTGAATGTACAGGTGTAGACCGTCCTTGAATTGCATCGAACTCAGAACAATAAAAATAAAGAAAAATTTTCGTGTTCATTTACGTTAAAACTTGAGTCGATCGGACTCGAAATCCCAAAACTCAAGTTCGAGTTCGAGTCTTTCCAAAGAATCGCCAGTCTAAGTCCGAGTCCTCAAAAAAATCTTCCAGTGCGGACTCGCCCATGCCTGGTCGAAAGACTAAAATTTCATATCTAAGATTGATTTGGTAGATACTGTATGGACACCTCAAAGTATGGAAGCGGCCTTCGAACAAGAAATAAACTGTCAAATCAATCTTAAATATAAAATTTTAGTCTTTCGACAAGTTGATTTTGAGGAAACGTCAACGGAACGCAACAGTTGGACCAGTTGCTGTTGTCAATGTACAACCGCTACACTTCTAGTAGGACGTCAACGACGGTGTGTAGGGGATACGAAGGGATGATACAAACTGTTGTGAAGACGAATTGTCTGCAGACGAAAAGTACTGAAACAAACTGTCCATGAGGTGAATAAGGTGGGACGAAGTGTTCGACACAACAAAGGACGAAGAGAAATGGTTCGATCATCGTTCTAGCTAAAATTTTTTTTCTTATATACTTTTTAGCTGTAAAAATGGGCCGTATTCCAAAAAAAATTAAAGAAAAAGCTTTAAGAGAACAAGAAATAAGTTTGAAACCAGAAAGTTTAACAGAGAACTCGACAGACACTGTGCCATCGTTGATTCCTCAAGGTTGTAACAACAACAAAAGATCTGCTGAGGATGACAATGATTCTGAAAACGATATTATCGAGTTAAATCCATCCGACTGTGGTAAATTAACCTAAAATTTTTTCGACTTATCTTTCTATCAAATAGCATATGATCTATTTCAATTGCTCATGGTCTATTCATAAACTCTACTGTGTAGTCCAAAGGTAAACAAAAGTTTTATTTCGATATTAGCAAGAAACAAACGAAATTAACGTTAGACTATGCTTGAAGAGTTCACGATTTTATGTCAGACTATCTTCTAAATTAATAACGTATCTTTAATCTAGATACAAATCCCTTATCCACTACCGCTCCTCCAGTGTTAGCCATACATTTATCAAGTCCATTACAAACATTAGACACCGTTCACATTATGTCACCAAACATGTTTCATCAACAGTGCAACGCTCCTCATCTTTCATTATTAAGTCTGCCATCATTTTTCTATTCATCTTTTGAATTATTTACACCATCTTCGTCTTCAACACAGATTTTATTCAATAACGATTCATTGTCACCACCACTCGTTTCTTGTTATAACACGAATGACTCCATGGTATACACATCGGATTTTTATCTTTGCACACCACCATCATCAAACGAAAAAAAAAACGTTGGATGAAACTCGAAAACAATTGAATGTTGCTCATTTTATTGTAAAATTAAGTGAATTAACTTTAATTGACTATATGCACAATTGTGAATTAAATTATGCAAAAAATGTCATTTCTATTATGAAAAGTATTGCACCAAAATTATCTCAACCCTATTTTGTATACGAACTGGATAATGAAGTGTCAACATTTTTCAGATATTTAAGATGGAAAATGTTGAAATTAGTGACACAGTTTACTACTCGAACTAGACAGCTAGTGAAACGAATGAATTCAATAATTAATATGAAAGTAAGTGACCGTTGTTTATGGTTGATTGATGCACTAAATACATTTGTAATTATGAGCGTCTTTTTTTAAATAACATATGGTACAAAAGTAATGATGTAAATGACGAGCATTATTTCGCTATCTTTCCGATGTGCTGGAGAGTTAATTATTTTTCCGCTGGATAGAGTAAAATCTGAACTTTGTAAAACATCGAGAACAAGTTTTTGTCTGATTAAGTCTGAGTGAGAAAAAATCTAAATAGTAACTAACGTCGCCAAAAAAAACTCTTGCAACTTTCTCTCTCTTCACACATATTTTTTCCTTATAATAGAATATATTTGAAATTATGTAATTGTAGAACTTAAAAGTGTTTTTATCGCTCTTTTCATTGGGAGGATGATAAATTATCTTTTTATTCATTTTTCAACCAGAAATTCGCAAACTTTTCATTTGTTTCAGAAATACAGTTAATTAGATTTAATTAATAATTTTCAGATACTGAACCAACTTCCTTCTTTTGCTAAAACGTATTTTCTGCAACAGCATTCAATTTCTCTGCAAATTTACATTATTTAAAATCTTTACTGATATATATTTTGAGTCATAAATAAAGAAATTTTCTCGATGTGTCATTTTCCCATGCACAGTGATGCTTTTCTACTAAAACTGAGTTTTTTTACTATTAAGGAACTTTTAGAAAGTAGAAGAATTGATCGAGTTTTGCACGAACTACATTCGCATTTATTCAGTTTTCAAAGCTTTTCTTCTCAGTCTGAAGTGAAAAGAATAACAAAAAAAAAGTACGTTCCAAGACCTTTTTGAGGTCAAATTGAAAGGATATTGTCTTACTGTTCAAATTGGTTTGTTTGCCAGACAAATTTATTCTCTCGACTTTACTCTTTCAAGCAAAAAGAACTTCAAAGTAACCAGACGCTCCGTCGCTGAGAAATACGGTTTGACATTTACACCATTACTTTTGCACCCTATGTTAGGCATGGACCGGTTTAAACCGTTATTTTTAGCCTTTTTACGAAAATATATTGTATGAAGATTATGGCATATTAAATTTTTCTCACAACTCAGTTTTGTAGAACAAATATTTCTCTATAAAATGAGCTATGGGGAACCTTTCCATCTTATCTCCTTTCCTTGTAATCGCTTTTTAACAAAGAGCTCATTTTCACTCTTTGTACAATTTAGTTTTTGCTAAAAGAGGATAAAAAAAAAGAACGATTTTTAACCGCTGCATGCCTATTCTCAAATGTCCTTTGCTTGATAAATTGACTGTTCTCGTTTTAGATTAGCAATTTTGCCGAGAATGCATCAACATTGAGAGAACTATGGGAGGGTATCTTAGGTAGGATATAATCATCTAAATAAAAAAGTAAGATTCTTCAATTTAAGATTTATGTTATTCTATTTATAGAGACCGTACGTTTGGATTGTAGCAATTGTATGAAATTTGCTCAGGAGGTAATCTATTTAGAAAATACATTTACGTATATTATAGATTTTTTTATCTTTTTACGGCTTAAGATTCCAGCAGTGAATGAAATATGTTCAGAGGATTTTTTCAAAATAATGAATAATCGTATATTTGACTTTTGGATGGTGAGTACTCTACATTCAATGATTGATTGATTTATATTTTAGTAGCCCAAAGTAGATGATAGATAGTGCAAAAAAAGGAACACAAATATATATTTATTACATAAAATGAATAGTTTTATCTTTTTCTTGTAATTTTTAGATTGAAAAAGCACCATTGTTTTACAAAGAAGAATCTTATTTATTGTTAACAAATGGAATTCATTATTCTCGTGCAGCTATGGAAGCTATTGTCGGCAAAAACACCGTCAAAGAAATGCATGAATTTGCAAATAGACTGCGTATGTTTAAATTAACCATTGTTGAACATGGTAAGTAAATTTTTACAACGATAAATAAGAATAAAATCAGAAAAGATCTCGAATAATTAGCAGAATGAATCCCGGAAGGACATAAAGATAGAAAAGATCTCGGGAAAATGTCAGTTAAGCATTTTTGCATGAAAGATCTCGGAAAATTTTATTTATTTTTTTATTCTGCAAAAAAGATCTTGGAAAAATAAATTTATCTATATATACAGAAAAGATCTCGGAATAATGAACAGTCTAGAAAACTGTTGGAAACCACCATGGTTTTGTTCGTGTAGATATGGTCTCAAAGAATACTCATGTATACATGCAATTGGTTTAATGATGATATGTGGGGTAAATGCCTGTCCCACAACTTATTGATAAACGTAGAGGAAGAGAACGTTCAAAAGAAATAAAATTAGTATTACAACATGATTAGAAGACTGAGCTT